TGAGGGTGCGCCTGTAGGCCGCTGCACCAGCTCACGTTAATCAGCTTAAAAAATACATGGGACCCCCAGGTTCCAGGTGACGTGACACCACTTAGTAACTCTGATTCGTTTCCATTGTGCAGCTTCCCCTTCACATTTGGAGAGGCAATTCCTTCCCCTCCCCCAAGCCCATCAGAGTCTCTGACTATTTCCAAAGTCCTGGCACAGCTCATGGCTCTGAGTCCCTGGGTGGGAGTCGAGTCTGAGCTCCAGGACTGTCCTCAGCCCACACAGGGAAAACAGCTGGTCCTGAGCCCCCGGCTGGGCAGGCGCCCCAGCAGAGCTCCCTTCTGCAGGGGAGAAAATGAGGCAAACAGCCTGGCTGGTCACTTGGTCAGCAGAAAGCCCACCAGCCCAGTGTCCTGGTGATCTCCTCAGCTGGGAAGCCTCCAACTCAGGGAGCCCCAGCAAGAGGGAGTCCCCCAAGTTCTGGACACCAGACATTGTTTCCTCTGGCCAAGGAGGAAGAGGGGTCCCAAACTGGAGCCACACTTGAGGCTGGGGAATCCCCCTGAGATCCAGTGTCCCTTCTAGGAAGAGTGGGGTAGCAGCACCCACCTTGATCATGTGAGGGTTAAATTATATGTGTGTGTGTCTAGGACCACCCTGCCAGAACTCAGAAGGCACTTAATAAAGAAATGGTCACACTGGGTACAAAAAGCTCCTTGTCACAGCAGCCAGATGAGAAAACCCATCAGGTGCCTTGGACACAGATCCTAAGCGTCAGGTCCCCTTCTCGCAGGAAGCTCCACACAGGCAGCTTGAGGCCGGCACAGCCCATATCAGCAAAGGCTCTTACACTCAAGGGGGCAGAAGTCGCCCAAGCCAGCCCATGTGGGCAGATCACTGGCCAGGGCATTTCAGGTTGAGAAGGCCAGCAAGAGAGCCAGGCCGGTGCCACCCTGAGCCCACCAGCCCCAGGAGCACCCACAGAGACCTCGAATGATCTAATGGATCTTTGGGGGCTCTGGGCTGCCCCATGGCCCCCACACTGGCTGCCCAGGACTCACCTCTCGCTCGAAGCCTTTCTCCAGGAAAATGGACCCGAAGGTGTGGAAGTCATCAGACTTGGAGCAGCAGGGCCTGTGGGGTAGTGGTGGTGATGGGAGCTATGCTCTCAGGGGCAGCATCAGGGTTAGGGAGGAGGTATGTGGGCCTGTAGCAGGAGCTGGGCATAGGACACGCAGTGGGCCTCCCCATATGAGGAACCCCGACTTCAGGGAACAGGGGGTAGACAGCGGAGGCCTCAGGGGTCTCACCTTGTAGAGCTGAGCCCCTCGATGGCCGACAGCATCTCGTCATCATACAAGTCGTCCTCCGACCGCCCCTTGGGGGATGCACTCCTGGAATCAGACACCCCAACTGCATCACCCCAGGGACCCAACATCCACTGTACCCCACTTCCCACATGTGGCCAGCACATATTCCTCCAGGCCGTGAGGGGAGCAGGCAGATGTGGGGTTGATGAGACAACCCTCAGGGGGGTTTCCAAGTCCCCCGATGGGGTTCCTAGAGCCTTGTGTAGGATGGAGAAGCAACAGGTGGGTCCCACTAGACCCAGAGAGGGCAAGTGAAGGCCAGCATCGCCCAGCAATGCCCAGTTGCTGGAGCCCAGCAAGAGGCAGAGCACAGACCCTCAGCTCCAGCCTAAGGCCGCTTCTGCCCCCCCTGCAGGGTGGGCATCGAAACCAGAACATCCTCCAACATCCTCCCTCCCACCAACCCCACCACAGGGTGGCAAACAGCTCATGCTCACTCATGGCCATTCCGAAGGACCAGGAAGTTCTGGTTCCTAGAAATGCTTTAACTCGACCCACAGTAAACTCCACAGAGGTCCTGGGCTGGGCCTCACAGAGCTGCCTCCTGGATAGAGGCCTGTCAGGGCAGCCTGCCTGGTAGAGGGGGCTGTGGAAGGACTTGGCCAGGACTTGGCAAAGGGATTGAGAAGCACACGTACCGGTCAGGGGCCCGGCGGTGCCGCAGGGGAATGGCCTGAAAGGGAAGGAGGAAAAGACACAGTTACTCCCAGAATGTTGGGCCCTGAAGTCCAGGCCTGGGCTGGGTGCATCACCTCTGGCACTCGGCACATGGGGCAAAGTGCCAGGGCTGTCCATGCTGCAGACCTCCAAAAATACAGATGAACAGAGGCCAGGCACTGAGGGGGGCAGAGACACTCCTGGGCACCCTGGGGCATTCTCCAGATGGTTTCACTCTCCCCCATACCCCCAGGAGGGAGGCAGAGCCTGTGACCATTTCACAGGTGAGGGAAGTGAGGCTTTGGCATCTATTCTTCTGCCCCCGCTCAGGGCCCTGAGCCCCAAGCTGTCTGGCAGAGTGGGACCTACCTTGGGCCTCTGTCCATTGAGAACGGGGGTCTCACTGCTGCTCACGCTCGCACGGTGGTTGAGATGCGCGAAGGGTCGCGCGGCCCCCCAGGACTCGAGGTAGCGCGTCATGCGGACAGATGCCCGCATCTTCAGGGCCGCAGCATCCCCCTTGGGCCTGGGCAGGTGCTGGCTGGGCAAGGCTGGCTGCTTACTCTGCGGGCAGATCAGACACAGGCCTGTGCCAGCCATCCCCTCTCCCCTGGGAAGGGGCCATCACCACCATCCAGCTCTCCAGAAACCTCACACTGCCCTCAGCACTCGCAGATCCAGTAAAAGAAAACAAGCAGAAAGGCTTCCCAGCCTGCAGGCCACTGGGAGTGCAGCTGCCCTTGGGGCCTGGTGCACTGAGGCCAGGCTGGAGGTGTCCAGCTCCTACCTGTCCCTGCTACTTACATAGCACTAGCCACAGCCCAGACCCTGCTCTGTCCCCCCAGGGAAAGACACAGCACTAAGGCCCCAGTGCCCAGTACAGCTCCTCGGGACCAGGCAGTCCTTGGGGCCTGAACCTCAGCCCCTCCCTGTGTAGGCACCCTGGGGACATGAAGCCCAGAGAAGCCACAGGCTTCTGCCCCACCCCCCCACACGTGCCCAGCACATGCTCCTCCAAGGGACAGCCTGGTGGAAGGGAAGTGTTGGCAACCCCAGGGCCTGGCCCCACCCTAGGGCAGCATTCAGGGAGAGCACTAGTGTGGCCCAATCATGATAGCACAGGTCCGTCACCAGCTGCGTGCCTGTGTGACCCTGCACCGTGCCCAGGACTCTGTGGCTTAGCAGGCCCAGCCCTGCCTCTGTTAATACCACAGAACCCAACCCCCCCCCCCAAAAAAAAAACAGCACAGCTGAGGCTTCCCCAGCCAGGGTGGCCAGGTGGGCAGGGAAAGGGGGAGGAAGAGACAAGTTCAGGCCATCTCGAGGTCTGCTGAGTCTCCCCTCAGCCCCCCACACATTCTCCTTTCCTCTAGGAGTCCTGTCTCTGGGACCCCTGAAAGCTACACACTCTCTCACTAAGCCACAGCAGCAACTGTCCTGGAAACTTCTAGCCTCCTTTTGGGACAGAAATATTTTTTTCTTTTTTTTTTTTTTTTTAGTGATAGTCTCACTTTGTCGCCCTCGGTAGAGTGCCGTGGTGTCATACAGCTCACAGCAACCTCCAACTCCTGGGCTTAGGCGATTCTCTTGCCTCAGCCTCCCGAGTAGCTGGCACTACAGGCGCCTGCCACAATGCCCGGCTATTTTTTTGTTGTAGTTTGTCCAGCCCGGATGGCCCCAGGAAGCACCACCAGGATAAAGCCCAAAGGTGGCCACAGGCAGGCAAATCAGGCCAGCAAATCTGCAGGCGGCTCATAGGCAGGCCCTCGCCCTGAGCCTGATGGTCAGGCCAGCCCCGAGGCAGAGCCTGGCTGAGTGCGAGAGAGCTGGAAAGCACCACGCAGACAGACATTCTTGAGCAAGCCCCAAGGATGATTCAGAGCAGCAGCCGGACAAGCTGGCCTCCCACACACAGGCTTTGGGGAGCAGCAGGCAGACCAAAGCTGGGGGCGCCCCTCAGCACCCCCACTCACCAGGAGCTGGGGAGCAGCCTTCCCCACCATGGGGTCCTGCACCAACTGGGCAGACACACAGGGCAGAGCGCCAGACACACAGAGGTCCCTGCCCAGTGGCTCCCTGGCCATTCCCTGCTGAGACTTGTCCAAAGCATGTTTTGAAAATGTGTCTTTTTTAAAATCTGGGAGATTAGTAACAACTTCATGAAAATAAACTAATAGCAACTATTATTTATAGACTGCCCGTGACACATCGGGCAGGCTGGTGAGGGCTTCACCGGGATTAGCTCCTTCCCCTGAAATTATTCTCATCACACAGAAAAGAGCGCTGAGGCCCGGGGCAACTGCTCCCATGCCTAGAATATACCCAGCAACGAGCCCTCTCCTGCCCGGGGCAGGCCCCTTCCCACCTCCCCCAGCCAGGAGGAGAAAAACACTCCCTCCATTGAGGAGTGGGTCCTCCTGCTCCCAGGGGAACAGCACAGCCCCCGGCCCCCCAGCTTGCACCTGCACCCTCGTACCCGGGGGTCGATGACCAGGTAGGTACGGATGTTCATCTCCTTCAGGTAGGGGTCCCGCTGCTGCCCGTGCCCGTCCTCCACCTCATATGCCTTGTCCAGGTGGTTCAGCGTCGCCTCTGTGATGTGCACCCGGCTAGGGGACACTTGAGTCAGGCACGGCAGCAGTGCCAGTGTCTACAGGCCCCCACCTGGGGACGCACAGCAGGCAGCCCAGGCCAGACACCGCCTCTGTGAGGTCACTGACTTCATCCCCTTCCTCCACCCTGACCGCTCCCTGACCCCTGAGTCCAGCGTCTGTCCCAGCCTCTGACCCACTGCTACCTGGCTGAGCCTCACCCAGGCACTCCGGCTGCCTCCATCCTGTTGGCCAAGGACACGTCGTGGGACCACACGTCATACTGCCATTTACGCAGCCCGATGACACCACACAGCACGTTCCCTGAGTGGATGCCCACACGCATGTTGATGTCCACACCTGTGGCCTCTCGCACCTGCCTGGACAGAGTGCCCTAGTCACCCCACCTTGGTCAGTGCCCCTGGGGGGAACCCCAACCTGGGGAGGCTGTAGGACCTGGGTATGGGGGGCAGCACAGGGATGGCACAGGGTCACCACCACGTATGTGGATGGGCCTTAAACACCATCGCGGGGTTTCTCCCTGCACAGCAGCCCTGGCTGGGTTTTAAAAGGCTTCTGGATTCTCCAGAGGGGACTTAAGTACCACCCAAAATCCAGCATAGACAAGAAACACAGGACAAGCTGGCCTCCCACACACAGGCTTGGGGGAGCAGCAGGCAGACCAAAGCTGGGGGCGCCCCTCAGCACCCCCACTCACCAGGAGCTGGGGAGCAGCATTCCCCACCATGGGGTCCTGCACCAACTGGGCAGACACACAGGGCAGAGCGCCAGACACACAGAGGTCCCTGCCCAGTGGCTCCCTGCCCAGCAGCTGCCTGCCCTGACTCCCCGCCCAGGGGGTGTCTATACTCCCCAGTCTCTGGGAAAGAGGGACCTGGCAGTCTCAGGTATAACTTAGTACAAGGAGCCCCAAGTTAGAGCTTCCTGGGTAAACAGGATGCCCCCAAATAGCAACAGGGCCTGTAAGTCCCTATGACAAGTGGGTGGGGGCCAGGGAGCAGCCAGCACCATGCATCCACCGACAGGGCTGGGGAGGGGCCACAAGGCAGGGGGCAACGTGTTACAGGGGCAGGAACTGCCCAAGGTCACCTGGCAGTGGTACAGAGCCAGGCCCTTCCAATCCCATCCAGGGTTGCTCCTCCTGGCAACACCAGCTACTTCTGGTGAGATCCGGAGGATGAAGGCGCAGGAGCCAAGATTTACACCCAGGAGTACACCTGTAGGCAGCTGGCCAGGCCCTGCCCTGCCCTGCCCTGCCCCAACACTGTCGGTGTGGCCAAGTCCATTGGGCCAGGCCCTTCACCACCTGCCCGACCGCCATAGCAAGTTTGTCGCACAGACTAGGTCTGTGTAGGGTCACAGAGAACTTCAAGGGCAGCTGGATTGCAAGCAGGAAGGAGCTCCAGGTCAGGACCCTGACCCCGAGATCTTCCCAGGGCTACAGCCAGCAGCACAGTCTGCCCTGAAATCCCCCGGCTGTTGTTAAGACTCAGGCCCTGGAGGGGACAGTGCCCACTGACCTGTCTTCATGTCACCCAGCTCTGAGATGCTTTTTGGGAGTCACAGACCGACCCAGAGGGAGGGACACAGACTGGGTCCACGTGCTCCAGTTTGCGGCATGGTCACCCTGAGTCTCGTTCCCTTGTCTGTGAATGGGAAGGACGCATTCCCCACCACGCCCCGGGAAGGAGGGTCTGTCTAGGGACAAGGCCCAGCCCCAGCTGCCCTGTACCTACTTGATGGCTTCACACATGTCCAGCCCCATCTTCACACAGTTCCGGGCGTGTGTGGGCAGAGACACGGGCAGGCCTGACACACAGTAGTAGCAGTCACCCAGGATCTTGATCCGCATGCACTCGTTAGCCTGCAGGGCAAGGGAGAGGAAGGGTCAGCGGAAGGTCTGGGGCCGAGGACCACACGTGCTGCCCCACACACACCAGGGGCTGCCTCTTGGGCACCAGCCACCAGGAAAGTTCCTGGGCCTGGCACAAGATTGGGGACACAGAGCCTTCCAGGAGGGACCCCGAGGTAAGCATGGGGTGAAAGCAAGTGTTCCTCTGAGGAAGTGGCTGCCTTTGTTTCATCTGTTCATGCAATGTTTGAGTGCCTACTGCGTACCCAGCCCTCGGCCAAGCAACAGGACAGAGCGGTGAATAAAGTAGACTCAAACCCCTATAGCCAGGGCACTGTCACACTGCAGGAGGCTGGACACTAGAGCAGATAAAGCAGACTACAGACTGCAGTGACAGGTGCAGAGGAGAAACAAGGCACAGGGTGGGGAAGACACTCCCAGGAGGCCAGAGAAGGAAGGCAGCCTTTGAGCAAAGACCCCCATGGGGGCCAAGAGAGGGAGCCAGGCAGCGTGTGGAGGAAGGGCATTCCAGACATGGGCCAACGCCCTAAAGTCTGTGGGCTGCTGAGACACAGCAAGGCAGTCAGGGGGGCTGCAGTGCAGTGGGCAGGGAGACAGGACACAGGTAGCAGATGCCATAAGCCAAGGGGCCGGGAGGTGTCAAGATGACCCAAAGAGAAGGGCAGGCCAGGGGTCTCATGAAAAAGGCCCACAGAGGGAAGGGGCAAATGAGAGCTGCCTGAGATCCTATCAAGGGTGGCACGGTGGCCACTGACCCCTCCATGCCCCCAGCCAGAGAAGCTGCAGTACTGAGATCTGGGGGGGCAATGTTAGGGAATCAGAGGGGTCTGCATGCAGAACTCTGCCTCTGCTCTCTCATCCCACCCACCCCCTTGGCTGGCAGGAGGCCTCACCCTCACTTCCGGTAGGTCTCTAGGGCCAGCCCTGACCCTGGAACGCTGTCTCTGCCTGTGCTGTTCCCCTACCCCTCCAGACAGCACCAGCCCTGCCTCCAGCTGTCCCCGCACCTGCCCGACCTTTGTGAATAGCCCCGTCCCAGCCCTCCTACAACCATTCCACTGGGGTGTGTGCCAGACGTTTCCTGCTGGGCCCTCTGTGGGACTTGCTGAGAGGGTCACAGGGCAGTGGCTTTCCTAGAAAGCAGGCAGCCTGAACACAGCCTGGACACTAGGGGCTGACTCAGGGCTCTAGCCACCCCCATCTCCCTAGGGCCAGGCACAGCCCTAGCTCTCAGGAGGATTCGTGGGAGGCGACACCCTCCAGGCTGCTGCTTCCCTGCTGGTGTCCTGAGCCCAGCAGCAATACTGAGAGAGAAGACCCGGCTCTCAGGAGGCGGCTGCAGTCCTGGAATTTGATCACCAACAGGAAGAAGGTGGGACCAGCCCTATCTGGAGACCAGACGCTCTGACTGGGAAGCAGCCCTGCCACGGTCTCCCCTTCCTAAAGTGACCAGATTTTAACATTGGTAAAGCGGGACCCCATTGACCGGGGG